CGCGTGTTTGAGACCCCTGGTATAAACACTAAAAACATATTATCAATAAAAAAAAATTAAGTAAAACTAAGAGTTTAAATCGAATTTACAATTTGTATATACACCCTCAGAATGCTTCACACTTACCATAACGTGGCAGTGCTTGCAAACGATGGACAGTGAGTTCGAGCACAGGTCATAATTCGAGTACTCTCACCATACCCATCTGGAGCTTTTCATTTTTTTTTATTCCACTATCTTTCTGCTACGTGTGAGGACCAACGTTGAATTGTTCTCAAGAAAAATGCTTCCGCCACGAGAAAGGCTAGTTGCTCTTGCTTCTGTTACAAGATTCAACTGGTAACGACTGACAGTGCAGTTTTAAATGCTGTCGTCCAGCTGTGATGTAAACAGAACAAAGACATTGAGACAATCCGTGGTGACCGACTAACTGACCTAAGTCTCATGCCGTGCTGTCCTCCAAGGTCAGTGATTCCACTGATTTGGGGGACTGGCAGGGTGCTCGACTCTTGGTAAGATTATGCGCTCGACGAATTTCTTTAAAAAAGAAGATTTTAAAAGTCTTTCTTTAAAAAATAAGAAATTTAAAAAAGAAAAAAAAATTTCTTTAAAAAAGAAGATTTTAAAAAACTTAAAAAGAAAAAGATTTTAATAAAAATAGTCCCTGCTTGGAGCAAAAATCTGCAGATTCCGTGTTAATTGTTTTTTATTTTTGACTCTGGCGGACATTTAGCAGTGTTTTCTGGCTAAACAGGCAAGTCTATGGCCTATGTTTAGTGACAAAAGATAATGCTTCTTATTTGAAAGTTCTAAAACATTTAGATTTAAAAATATGAAATCCCAAAGGAGCGGAGAAGGAATGCGGGGTTTTGATGATTGTAGTCTCTAACATCTTTGATTCACGCTTGATCCCAAACTATTTGCGACAGACCCTTAATACTTTTCCAGTAATCTATGTTTGAACTAGTCAGGCAAGCCTTTAAATAATGTCTAATATTTATAGCCTAGAATTTCGTAAAAAGTCCCAAACATGCCCTTGCACACAATTTAGCCTCAAACTCCATATTTTTTTTATGCATAGAATTTGTAGAGTATCAGATTAAAATTGATAACACATAAAACACACATGTCATTGCCTTCCAAACATTCTAAATTCTGTTTTTATTTAAAAAGTAATTTATAAAAAATGGCAAGTTTTAGAGTAGCTGGCACCGCACAGACAGTGCCAACATCTCCATAAGAACTATCATTCATCAGAGAAGATAAGTTTTCAGGTTTCATACAAGTTCATCACGCATAATTTTTTTTTTTTTAAATCCTTTACATTGTTTATGAGATGTAAATGCATAATTTAGGAGTGCCGAGCCTCGAAATATGCTATAAAACAGCAACTGCCGACAGCAGTGTTTTGAAACTTGTCATCCGTTTCAAGTTTCATTAAGTTTCTAACCTAAAATCTAAGGGATAAGCAATCTATACTTTTTAAAAACAATTTAGGTACAGTCATGCCAAATGTAATATATAAACATTTTTACTGGCAGCCCACAATCCAGGTCAGAGGCCTCCAAACGTTTTGGCTGAGGGGCCGGATTAGGGCTTTGTCACAGCATCGAGGGCCGGGAAAAGAAAGGGTAATTATAAAAAAAGGAAGGACTACTGTAAAATCTTGGGTGAACCACTTGTCTGATTTAAATGACGTTTACACGCCTTGTTTCTGTTGATGTTGAGAACATTTCTGCCAAATTTTGTTAACCTGGGTGAAGTACAAAAACAAATTGCAAACGGTCAAAGGTGAAAATAGTTGTGTCTGCGTAGGAAAACTATTGTTTTAAAATTACTTATAAATTTGTCGTTTACATGTGTTATATTGCTTTAGGACAGTTGAGAGCAGATAGCTATGGAGCTATGTTTCTATATTATACCATCTTTCATGACAGAAAAACCATATAAGCACAAATACAGTTTTTTAGGTTTCCATCTTTTGTCCAAAATTTATTCATAGTATATGAGTACATATACTAGTTCAATTTGAAATTTTATATTTAGCTAATTATGACATTGCGCAACAATAGACCATATGCGAAATTGCTCGAAGGTCTGGCAACACTCTGTGCGCTGCCATCTTTGTAGCGTCGAGATTCCTCTGCTATTTGTCAATTTTGTAGCGTTGTCGGTAACAATCGAAGCCTACTGATCACCGTCATTGATCCTCACCCACACCTGCGAGCTTAGGGTTAGTATTGTTTTACGCTCTTCTTGCACATGTACGTGCTCATTGGCTCGCCAGTCGCTGGTTTCTCGCTGCTACCAACATGGCGGATGTACACTTCAGCTCGAAATTCGGCTTTAAGTGCCGGCAAAGGCACGGGCGTGGGCGCGCGGTCTTTGAAAGCGCTTTTCTTGCGCGAGTGTTTGTGCAAGCGAAGAATTCTTGAGAACTACGCTTTTGCACCTTGGCCTTTGCCAGCGCCGAAGCCAACTGGTGAGACAAAGCATGTTCTTTAGCACCTCACTAGATGGCGCTGTGCATTTCGCTTATCGTCTGTTGTGACCAAGAAAACTAACCAGGCATAAATCAAAGCGCATGGGATGTTTGGCACATTAGCTGAGGCAAAAGACTAATGAGAATAATAAACCAAATGCTGACAATATGCAATAGTTCTGACAGAGGACACTAAGCAAACTGTAAGTGAGAATGCAAAGTAGTTTTCGTTACACAGACATGAAGCCAGGGACTAAGAGTGGTGATGCTGGGGATGACAATGTTCAGTCATGGCAAGAAAACCCTTTTACGAAGCAGTTTCTCTCTTTCTTTCTGGTATATCCTTTTGCACATTTGGAGTGTGTCGCGGCGCCATTCTTTTAGGCGCACATCTTTTTGTGGCAGTAGTAGCGGGTCTGCTGGAAACCGGCCACGGGCCAGTTGGAAGACTTCTGCGGGCCGGGCTTTGGAGACCCCTGATATAGATCAATGCTCTGTTCAATGCCGTAACCAAATTTAATCTTTTGCCATTTGGCTATTATTTGTATACTGTTATTGTCTCCAGAACCCACTCCCCTCTGTAATGTCATTGGTCTTGAGGTTATTGAAATAAATAGGTAAATACGTAATCACATGAAACCTCTTGCAGTTATGGGAAGCTTCAAGTGCAATTGCCACTATGCACTGTTGTAGAAGGCTTGAGCACAAAGCTTAGGAAGTGCCTTCGACACATGCATGCCCTCGTGACATCGGGGCAATATTGTTTGAGGCACGAACTCTGAGCTCTGGGGTTCCCCAAACACATTGAATAAAAAACTCTTGTAATTTTTTTTTTTTTTTAACACCTTACATAAGTGGCATAACCAGGGAGGGGGCTTATAAGGTTTCAGCCCCTCCCCCCCACCTTGAAAAAAAGTTTTGGCTATCACTGCCTCACATAGCTTCCTATAGACCGACACGCGGAGTGGCTCTGTTTACCAACACGGGCGGAAGGCCGCGCATGCGCGGTAGCTATGTGGGCAAAAGCGACCCGCCTCTCCGTGTTTTCGCCATTGCGTTGTGTGGTGTGCGCTCGTTGTTGACGTTGTAGGGACGCTTCTAGCTTTATTTGTGAGTCGCATTTCCTGGCAACGTATGTCATATGCTATGCCCGACTGTTTGAGCTAGCTACCCGAGCCTGAACGGCGGCGGTATCGAAGCAAACTGTGTGTGGACGGCGTTGCCAACGAGCATCCGTACGCCGTAAACAAGGCCTGCTGGACTTCCGACGTGAAGTTGCTGCCGCCGAAGTCGACGGCTCACGTCTTCGCTTATTTAGTTTTTTCGCCAAGCCAGTTCACGGCCGACACGGAGCAGGCGTACAAGTCTCTCGAGACCTACGATTACTTCGAGTCGGTTTTCGCACTGCCGGCGGGATCAGCAGACTGTGGGTCTGCGGAAGTGTAGTTATTAATTAAATAAATGCACACAGCGTCTTGAAGTCAAGGTATGATATTTTTCCTACTCTCATGACCGCAAGGCATGACAAGCAGTAACGCTTTGTCTGTTCTGCAGTCTTGGCAGTAACACATTACAAGTAACGGCGTTACCAGGAATGCGTTACTTTTTTTTAGTAACGTAGTAACCTAATCGTTACTTTTTCGACAAAGTAACGGGTAACATTCTTAGGTTACTATTTCAATTAACGTAGTTACGTTACTCGTTACTACAATTACACTTCAATTTTTTCAGTGTTTTTACACGTCAAGCCATGTTTTTGTTTGCGTTTTTTTCCCGTGAGTATTTAGGGGAAACCGTAAAAAAAGGTGAAGTAATTATGTTCAGTTTCTGCATGAACATATTGTTTCTTGATATATGAGCTTATGCATAGCTGTATCGTCAAAACTGTAAAACGTGTTAAATCACCGCAGAAGTAACGTGCGTTACTTTTTATCGGTAGTGGTAACGCGTTCCTTTTATTTTTAGGCAACGTAGCTCAGTAACGGTACCTTTGATTTGCAAGTAACGAGTAACGTATTTCGTTACTTTTTTTAGGGTAACGCCTGCAACACTGCCGTTATGTCGCCGATCCCCTTCTGCTGGGTAGCACGGGCGTAGCGAGCCTCCAACGGGCACTTGGCCGGTGCTTTGTGCGCGAACACCATGGGAACAAAATCCGGGTGGTCTCGATCAGACGACGGTTTCTTTGCACATAAGCAAGCCTCGGGACGGAGATTGAAATGGAAGCCGCACTTGCCTCCAAGAAAGTGCTTGCCGCACAAACGGTCGTTCGCGCGAGGCGACCATAATTTTCGATCCACGGATATTATCCACCTTCTATGCCTTTCAGAGTCTGCCGGGAACTTGTAGAAGCTCACTCCGCCACTTTTCTTGTACATTGAACGCGCGGCTCCGGCGCGTTCGCAGCGCCGTGACGTCAAGCCCGCGTGTCGGTCTATAAAATGTGGGGCATGGCCTGACAGACGACCAGGAATGGCTAAGTAGGGTGATAGTATGTTGACTCGTTATTTTCTTTCAGGAAAAGCCGCGCGCTGCTTGGCGCGCGGAAGAGTTCAAGAAGAAAATGTCTAGTCTCAAGCTTAAGGCAAAGTCAGACTCTGAGATTGTCAGGGGCCTCTTGGACCATTACCGAAATGCCACCGCAGCAGGAAAGGAGCCGTTGCTTCGAGACTTGGAGTATTTAGTACACCAGGTACAATTAGGACCACCATTTATACGTGTTATTGATGCAGTCTGTTTTACAGTATGACACAGCTGTCGACTTCATTCGAATGGATGGACTCCTGGTCATAGTGCCTGATCTCAATTCTACCTCCGAAACATTGCGGGAACTGGTGGCATTCACTCTGGGCTCAGCATTGCAGGGGTAAGCCGAAAGACTCTCCGGGACGCCGGTTTTGTTAGGGCAGCTAACTCATTTTAGGTTTTCTGCCTACACTTATAAAGGGGCAGCCTCGTAAGGGTTCGGGTGATTTGAGGACCCTACTGACACTTTCAGCGCACTCCAAGTTCGTCGAGCCACTAAAACTGAGAAGGACGAACTGTCACGAAGCCTTGATTGGTGACAAGAATGCTCTGGTGTATAGAAAGGCAGTAACCTTTTTGTTTCGTCATAGCAATGAAGTGAAGGAACCGAAATATGTGGAAATGACAAGTGAAGAGCAGTTATGGCTGCATTCATGTATGCAGGTGAAAATGCCAGTTTTGCAGGTTTGAAACAGTGAACCAGTGTAGGAGGTTCAGGTCTACGTATATGATATCATTACTTCATTTGGAAACTTTGGGAGATAGAAGTTGAATACATTATATTTTACTTCGAAAGTCATGACACAGTCGTGCTACACTTATTTGACATTCTGGCAGAATCGGCAGATTCCCCGTTGGTCATCTCCGTCAGTTGCTTTGACAGCAGCTAAAATGATGGCAACGACAGAGTCACCAGGACAACCATGCTTTGTATGCCCTGTAACAAATAATATAGATGTGCATTTTTTTTACTCTTTTTGACTTTTTATTGCTGCTCATAGTTAGGTATTTCATGGATTGGTTTCCACGTGGTGTATGAGGCAAGGTTGTCCCGATGATTTGCAGAATTTCTCAAATGAGAAGCACAGTGGGAGCACAAATTTGTTAACAATGAATAGTAACAATGTGAGATACGAGAATGCAACTTCTTACCGACTAGTAGCCGAGTGGATGAAATGGTGCTTCCGGCCTTTTACACAAAGCAAAAAATCATTGTGAGAACATTTGTATGTGTCATTTATAATTGGTAAGAGCAACACCACTTTGTGGTGTGGACAATTCAATTGGTTTAGCAGCAAAAGCTGCCCACTCTTTCTGTTTTTAGGGTAGGGGGATGGGCCTGTATACGGGAAGGGGGGGGGGGGGGGGGGAACCAAGAAGTTTGCATTCCTCTGTTTTATCAGGCACTGGGCACACCAAGCGTGACATTGTCTCTCCTTTCTGCCCCAGCAATCCGCAGGTGCAAAGCAGTGTGTTGGAGTTTGGTTTGCTGCCACAGCTGCTCCGCCTCGTTGCAATGGATCCATCTTCCCGTGTGCGGTCACGGTGCCTTTTCGCGCTCTCGTGCCTAGTGCGCCATCTGCCTGCCGCTCAAGAGGCTCTCATGCACCACGGCGGTCTCACGGTTCTCGCCGGACTTTTTGCTATGGGCAGCTCCTCATCTGCTAAGCTCCAGCTCAAGGCAGTCACTCTGATCCACGATCTCCTCGTGGAACAGGTGGGTTTGAACATTACGTAATTGCCTTCCAGGGTCATGTTCCCATACTTGCTGGATCGCACTCCGGACCAAAGGTTTCACTCTTTGGCATTACGCAACTTATTCATGTCCAGCATAATTTTATCTGTGCTGAGACGTTCATCTACTGTAGAACACAGCGCATCCACCCATTCCACACTAAGCGCCCATTCCCAAAGTTGTAAGATCTGAGAAAATATGCACAGTACATTGATATGTAAAATTGATGACCAGATAAGCGCCCATTCCCCATTTTTTTTCGCGATTATCTTCAGATTTTGAGTGGGTGCTTGCCCGGTATTTTACGGTACACAGATGCTTTGGCGCTTGCTTACTTGTCCAAAAAGTGTAAGATATCTGCTACCTGTAAGGAACGTTCTCTGTGCTCCTCCACGTCTCTTCATCACATATTGAACAGATGCTGATGGCTTCTTAATTTTGAATTGACATATTTCTTCTTTCAGCTGAGTAGAAAGTAGACCGGTTAAAATTTCACGCTTGCCATGGTTTCTGGCCACTTCTGCCTCGTGCCTGACATAGTCTTACTTCCTTCTAAGTGGCGGTGTGTCCCGCCTTTACTTTTAGGGACAAGGGGTGCACATGACTTAAGAATGTTCTTCAGGTTTGTCATCCGCGATTGTGACACACATAGGGAGACAAGAGCAAGTGACCCATTTGGCTGGAGAGCCTCAAAACATTAAACTGTTGTTCAGTGCCCAGATTTGATTTATTTCTCAGGAAGGGCAACCAACAACAGACGATAGTGAAGCTGGGTGTACTCTCTGACTGAAGGGCTTCACTGATTTCTTTTTTTAATGCAAAAGCATTAACTGTCCCATGGAGCGAGCCGACGTCATCAGTTTGAAGCTCGAAAACGGCACCTAGTTTCCGCAATTTCGCCTTCGGTTTCATTGGCTGGCGTGCGTCGACGGGGCTCCCATTGGCCGCTGCGCTCGTCAGTTTCCACGACCGCTCACCCCATGGCGCTGCGTGTCCATAAGCGCGCCGTTAACACTCAGCGTTTAAGGTCATCAGGGGATCACACGCGCTGACCGGCGACAAAAAGTATGCAGCAGACAAAAAAGAGAGCGGACGAGCGGCTTGCACGCTTTTGCATTCACGCCTCGTAAGAAGTGCTTAAAGGGCAACTCCGCTTCTTTTCCAGTAGTGCAAAACTATACAGTTCTCTTTGTTATCATCTACAAAACCCCCATGGCAAATATTACGACGGAATTCCGCCTAGAAGTTCATTAAAATCGCTGTCAAAGTTTGACAAGCGCGAATCTGCTGGTTTTGAATGAGACGTGCGGGCCAGACAAAACTGCCCGGCTGCATTTCCGCTTCCTCCAAATTCCTTCTCCCGGCACGTCCGCGACGTCATCAAGCATGTACAGCTTCTTTTTTTTTCAATTTTGTTTTCTTTCCCGGGGAGAGCACGGGGGGCGCCAGCGCCGTGAAAGACGTGAGTGACGCGCTCGGCCGACCCGGCGCTCGACTATTGATACTACTGATAAGCCGATCGCCTCGTTGAGGGCGGCTTGTGTTACATCCCATACTTTTGAACACCAAGTAAAAAGAGGAGAGGGAAGCTGCTTTTGTAAGAATTTTGAGTGACAGGTTAATCTTCTATAATCTTCTGGGAGGAGAATAGCGACGCCTGTGCTAATCCAGGAGGCACAAAGGAGGATCCTGATAAGAGGAGAGCTCCTTCTTCCCCTTGTATATCACGTGGGTGTACATGCTTAGTGATGCCGAATATACAATGTTGTCCGGCTTTGCCACTGTTTCGGTTTCGGTTTGTGATCATGGCTAAAGTAAAATTACACGAAAAATATTTTATTTTTCGCGAAACAAAGGATTGGGGATTGTTTTTGAGTGCTTCAAAAAGCAAAATCGGCCACTATCTCAAATTTTTTTAAATTAAGCGGAGTTGACCTTTAAGTGTACGTCGAGCTTTTTTTTGTTCTGCATTTGTGGACCATCTTTAGAAAAAATTTTTCCATAAATATAAGTCATAAATGCATGCATTTACCCAGTTAATTCGTTAACTAGCTGTCCATAGTCCTGACTGCGGGTTTCTATATTAACGAAACCGAATTGCATGGGGATAAATTGCCCGAAAATTATGTCTGTATAGCTGGGTTTTCATATTAATGTGACATGATTGTGCATAGAATTCCATCCTGAGACTGGTTTGGTCTCCTGCGTAAAATATAGAGTGCAATCTAACCCTCTCGGGTCTCTTGAAAGGGGGACTTCAGTGTTTAGTCAGGCAAAAAGTTAACTACTCCACCCTTAAAGGGGTAGTGCAACGTTTTTAGTGTTGAAAGAATTGGCAGTTTGTATTTTTTATATTGTTTATCCAAGCACAAGTGACCGAAACTGCGTCACCTTGCCCCGAAAAACTGCTATTCCGGTGCGTAATCGCAAAGAAGAAAATGAAATATTTTCCAATCTGCAACCGCTTGTGGTGGTTAACAGAACTGATGTGTGACGTACTCTGGGGGATACGCAGAAGTGAACAAAACCTGTCCCCTCCGCTGCTACGCTCACCGTCACTCCCGTGGCAAAGTGTCTTTTGTATAATCACGGAGGAAGTGACTGGGGTCTCTGAAGAGAGAACCCAAGGGGAAACCACGTGATCCCCCAAAGTATGTCACTCGAAAGGCGACGTGGAGAGTTGAGAGGCACTTTGACCTTCAATTTGTTTAATTTTTTTACATAAAAACTACGCTCACAAAAAAATACAGTTTTCTGTTCTTCGTTCCGTGGGTGACACAGATTAATTTCCACAGTTAATTGGCCAAAGTCTGAGAATCGTTGCACCGCTTCTTTAAAGGGAAACTGAAGCGGTTCTGTATTTGAGGAAAAACACTTCATTCGTCTTCATTTGGCCTCGAGGATCACGAATATCGCAATTATTTTTGAGATTGGTGCACGGGGGCTGCAGAAATTAATTTTCAAAGTACCGCTGAAGCCCCTCCTTCCTAGTGCCAGGCACGTAGCCAGAGGGGCGGCCCACGGGGCCCGGGCCCCCCCCCCCCAAAAACTTCTATTTTGCTGGGACCTGCTCTCCCCCCTCCCCCTCATACAGCATTTTGTAATGGGCAGCCCCCCCCCCCCCGAAACAAAATCCTGGCTACGTGCCTGCCTGGGGCGTGACATCATAAGGAGTTTTCAGGGGTGGAACGGCTGCGCCATTTGCGCCATTTTGCGCCAGACGCATGTGTCTGCGCCATCCTGCGCGAAGTTGCAGAAACTGCGCCACAGGCAATACCTCGCGCCATTATGCGCCAAATCGGAAAACGTGCGCCATAAAACTTTTTATTTTGTCTTGGTTTCGGTTTTATTGACTCGATTGGCAGCAATGAGCGCGTTTAGCCTGGCCGGCCTTGCAACCCTTTGTTCTGTTTATTCTCTCTGTGTATCCCGAGTCAGAAGCGTGCGAAAAAAACTCGGATTCTAAGCGCTACACCACCTGCGACTGGATTGTTATTCTTCAACCATACGCGGTTAAGCAAGTTGGCTGAGGTGAGGTCGAGTCGTTAAGCGTCAGATTGCCGAAGGCTCTGCAGCCCGGGATCCGGACGTCAGCCAGTTGAAAACAAATGAGCAAAATATTCCTTTTAGAACTTCACCGTTAGAAGTTGGAATTGCATTCTCGCAAGATAAATCGTGATTTGATAGAACTGAAACGCAGTCCGATCCGAAACCTTGCCAGCGTACATTAACCTTGCTGCTGCTTATCGCTTCAAATACGATAACTTCGTTAATCGTACTCTGCTGCTTCGATATCGAGTTGCACAATAGGATAAACTTGAAATTTGTTGCCCTGTTCCTCCGTGCAACTGCACGTCCGTTGCTTACGCACGTCACGTGGTTCGTACATATAATTACTATGTCAAGCACGTGTGGGTTGCGCGATAAGCAGTGCTGGTTTGCATTTTGAGCAGCCGAAAGCCACTCAAAATATCAAGGACGCTATCTTCAGAAACATACGGTACTAGCTTTTTGATTCTCATTAAGGCTCGCAAAATTTCCCGTTTTCGCATCTGTTACACTGTCATCCCATCTACCTAGGTCTCTAACCACTCATGTTCATCTGTGCTGCTAAGCATGATTGAAATTGCTCCCGTGCTTGTAAGACACAAGCTGAAGTGCAATGAAAACTGATCTGAGCTGCTCCTAGCCTGCTCCAGAACGTAGTTTTAGCTGCTCCCAACCTGCTCCAAAACAGCTGTTTCTGCGGCTCCTGTGGCTGCTCCCAAGTACATTTCATAAGTTCCACCCCCGAGTTTTCAGAGTCCCCGCTTTTGCTCGTCTACATTGCCTATCAAAGCTATACATGCGCACTCTTGATAATTTCAGAAAGGTCAGAAAGAGACGTCTTTTGCCTGGTGTCAGTACGGGGGAATATACCTGGCAAGCTTGCAATTGCACGCGCTGCCCACACGAGTGACACGCACTTGGCAGCCAAAATATCCTAGTATGACGTCACGACTGGTCAGAGGTTTTTTGTGTTTTCTCGCGTTAGTTGCACCTTGGGGGAAAACAAACCTGATATTCAGATTCACGGGATAAAAATGCGCCAGATTTCACCTCTAACTCGTTTTTTTCAAGAAGTGTTTCAGCTTCCCTTTAGAGAGACCTAGGAATTCATTTCTTTTTTTTCCTACCTGGTTAGGACAGACCCGTCACAAAATAAATGTTAATTGAAAAAAAAAATGTTTTTTTTTTTGCTTATTATTTATGTTAGAATTACAATTTTTCGATTTGCGGACGAAACCAAAACTATCCCTGTGGGATGATGATGATAGCATTTGTACCCAACTAGTGTGTACTCTGAGTTCGCTGGACCTCGGAGCGCACACTATAGTCAGTGACAACTCAAGAAGGTAGGGTGAGGGAAAGAAAGGGGGGAGAGAAGGAAATGAACGTAACGCTGGCGAGGGGAGGAGGCAACCCCCCCCCTTGCCAGCGTTGCATCCGCTTCCTTCTTTCCCACCTCTCTCTCGCCCTATCTTCTTAACCTGCAGCATACTATAGTTGGGTACAAATGCCGTCGTAATCATCCCACAGGGGTACAGTTTCGGTTTTGCCCGCAAATCGAAAAATTCATATCGTAGCATAAATATTGGGCAAACAATCTTTTTTTTCTTTTGACAAACATTAATTTTGAGACATGCCTAGGGTGACCACCTTCCTGCTAGCGAAATGCGGGACACAAGAGGCGAGATAGGGGGGTAGAGGAAAATTAACACGCACACCACGAACCGAGGCTCTGTTAACACATTTAATATCCTGTGCTTTTTATGAACCTGCTAATTGTATTGCAGCAATTAAGCTCAATTAATTTTCACACCAAGTGATATATTTTTATGACAAATGTGTCATAAAAATTAAATGTGTCGAAGTTGGAAACAAAAATCGACTGTAGCAGAATTCAATGCATCAAATGAAAATAAAAAACCGTAAATCTTTTTTGCGGGATTTTTTCCTGTCAACACTTACTTTTATCAACATGGTCCTACACAAATTTTTAACATTATGTTATTTTTCGACTGTTGCGAGTTGCAGGCTTTTTGCCTTGTGTGGCTGTCTTCACTAAAACAAAAATCCACAGCAACCCTTTCGGGTTGACACAGCGATTTGAAAATAATTACAATATTTTATATTGAAACCTTTGGTGAGCAATTTTTCTTAGAATATTTTGCCACCAAAGGGAGAGGCACAACGGAGCACGCGCGTCGTAGCTCCTGCGAGAACGACAGTCGCTTCCCGCAATGCTTGGATAGAAAATGGTGTACCATTGCGATTTACACGATTACCAGCGACCTCCGCGCTTCCCCGTGCCCTGTTGTTCTGCAGCGCCATTAGTTGCAGAGTGAATTTTACTACAGTATGAAATGCGGGACTCTTTGAAGATTTGGGAATTCCTTGCGGGACACGGGACACTAGCCCTCAATGCGGGACAGTCCCGCGAGTAGCGGGACGGGTGGTCACCCTAGACATGCCTGTCCTTACCAGGCAAAAACAAAAAACAATTTTCCCCCTAGGTTTATTGTTTTTTTTTTAAAGTATCTCGTCCAACTTTTCGGCTAATTTTCTAAGCTATTGTGTTGACTGAATGTTAAGCATTATAAAATATAGCTTTATTCATATGCCTCTCCTAAGAAACACTGGTTCAGGTTCTCTAACTTTCGTGAGTCAAGATAGAGTTCGGAAACAGGAAGAACTCATTTTCGATTTGGAGTTATTAACTGTTTGCCCCGGTAGTATTTCAATTCTTGACGCTTTTATAGTTTGTTCTAGCACTGTCAATAAGCTAAGACATAGCATAGATGATACTCGACTGCTTTGAGCACCATTTACAAACAAGTCTTGCACATCCATGGTTTCTGCAAAGCACATATATAGCCAACCATTGCAGAGAGAGCCTGGTGAATGACGAGGCCAAAATACCATTTTCACGTCATGTCTCTCTGGCAGCTGTCACCCTGGGAAAACTTTTGATTGTTTTCAGAGAGTTTTTTAAACTAATTCCTTAAATTTGTTGATTTTATATTGCTGTTTGACTTTGTAAACACATCTAATGCAAGATTCAAAATTCATAATGAACTACCAGAAGAAAAGCACTTTGTTTTGTGCTCAGGTTGGTCGTTGTTTTTATGGGTGGGTGATTCGCTTATTCATAGTTTACTATTTTTGCATTCACCCTTAATACTGTCTTTCTGCTTCGATACTTTTGATCACTGAATGTTTGCTGTTTTTCTTTTTTTTTTTTCCTTTGCTTTTGCAGCGCTTGAGGCAGGGTGATGACCATGCGCAAGTCAACAAGTAAGTACAATATAGCAACTCTACATAAGCCTGTGGGAGCCGTCGCAGAAAGGCCCTTTGATTGTGCTGGCTCTGCCACTACATACTACAGTCATGTCTTGTCACTACGGATGCCTCCGTTCCCCAGAAAAATCATCCAAAGTGTGAGTCGGCCATAATAATGAATCAGGGTCAAAACACACGGATCAACAAGCGTAGTAACAACAGTTGGAGAAGAGGGGAAGGAGGCACTCCCCTCGTATCCAGACCCTCTTTTCCCAGACGTCGCTTTGTCCCTTCCAGAAACTTAGCCTTTTGTACAAAAGTGGCATTCTTCTCTTTCCTGCCCATGTCTTCGACAGCACTGCGCGCATCTGGTAAGCCGCGTGTCTCCTTCCAATGTGCTGATTGGTTCGCTTGGACCATAGCCTTCACCGTTTGCCAAGTTACGGTGAAACAAAGTGTAGGAGACATTAGCTTTGTGGGTCCAGAGCTTCTCTACCCTTCTCCATACAGTGACGAAGTCTACAGTGATGTGACCTAGCTGCATTAGAGCGCATACTTCTTTGTTGCACATTTTTGAAAAACCGGAGGCGATGGACGAAGGAGGGGACTATACAAACTTGAGCAACATTAGACTGCAAGCGGTAATACTCGTTTTGCGTAAAAGACGAAACAAAACATCCGTTGGTGTGCAGCTTTTATTGCAAGACCCGCATTGAACGTCTGGGTGCACACTGTGACTTCTTGGCTTCTCTGATATCTTGTGGGAAGATTTTGGACCTCGATTTTTTTAAACTGGGGTACTGGCATCCATATTAATGAAACGAAAATGCCTGTATTTACCCAATTCGTCCCCAAAATAGCTTCCATAGTCCGGACTGCGGATTTCCATATCAACGGGGAAAAATTTTGTGGTGAAGGACCGGTCACCGAAAATTTCGTCCACAACGGGGGGGGGGGGGTGTCCCTATTAACGAGACATGACTGTAATGGTTCCGGCTGTCAATGTCATAGCCCGTATATTGCTGAATGCACCTTCAATTCTGGTGAATGGGCTCTACAAAAATGTGTTTTAGCAGAATTCAAACATCATTTAGTGCTGCCCTGCTGTTGTCAATCCATGCCAGCAACCAGCAGTCTGCTGGTTGCTATAGTTGTCTCCGGATTGTTTCATTTGGTTCAGAGCACAGAATGAGTAAACTTTGAGACAAGCTGAATTTGCCATCTGTTCCTTCGAACAATGTTTGTGAGAAACAGATAATTTCAACACTCCACTACTACCCATGTGCCCCAGAGCAGGTGGTTAGAAGTCGTGCAGCAAACATGCCGACTTGTCACTTCTCTCGATTAAGAACATGGCTTTGTTGATGATTTAGGTGTGCAACTTTATGCCCGATTTTTCTTTAATTGGGGGAATTATTGTAGCAGGGCAGCTCAATTAACCTCAAGTATAACTAAAAATAAAAAAAAGTTATTTTCTTGCAGTGGCGTTACTAGGGTCAGTCAGTAGCACTCATGCCGCCACCTACCCCCCCCCCCCCGCCCCCGCACCCGCCCCCGCTTTCGTGGCCCGCCGCGACACACTCCCGAGCACTGCACCTGGTAATCCCCCCCCACCACTTTGTGACGCCACTGTTGTCATGGGTGCAGTACATACCAAACTGGCCTCTAACTGGATGAGTATACTGCATATTCTTTTCTGGTTATGTTGACCTCTAGCAATCTCTGGCTTAAGAGGAGTGAGTGAATAACAGTTAAAAACGTTAGGCTCATTCACTTTACTTGCACCAGCCTGTACTGGTGTAGAAAAGTAGTGCGGTACAGAAAAGTAGAGTGCAGCATACTTCTGATTGTGTTTCTAGATGGGCTACACTCGTAAACTGAATGTGGCTGGGTGCACCGAGTGCAGCTGGTGCAGGAGGTGCATGTAAATTGAATGAGCCCATTGCTCACTGACATGCGAGAACTTTTGTGTCAGTTTAATTTTGTCAGTGGACATTCTATGCAAGCAACATGCATGTTAGGCGGCAGTTCAAGAGACACTGCATAACTGTGACTTATTAATGAAAGTTGAGTAGGCTTGGGTAGCAGCAATGTCTATAAAATATAGGGGTGGATTTATGAATAGGCAAAGTAGGCTGCTGCTTAGGGCGACAAATCTATGAGGTAGTCTATAGTGGTGTCGATGGCTGGTACCAGAGCCGCTTGTACAAACCGTGAAGAAAGAAGGGCTGGGCTTTTATGTGCTCTGTTCACAGCTAAGCTGAAAGGGTGCTGCAGGCTTTATGCTCACGGGCCAATCAATCGCCTCTCTTTCGTCGCCTGACCTTGCTCTCTGCACATGGTATGTGCATAGGGCATGATCACATAGTACGAGGCCCATGCAGGGGCGGGTTTAGAGGGGGGCCCGGATGTCCTGACCCCCCTCTTGATTTCTGCATGTGTAAAATTTAGGGCGCGAAACAAGGGAGAGGGGGAGGGGGTTCCTAAACATATGGTACGCTGACCAACACCTGACCCCCCCTCAAGAAATTCCTGCATCCGCCCCTGGGCCCCTCTTTCGATAGACTGGTCCAACGAGCATGTAGCTTCTACCGCCCTGTCGGCCTAGTGGTGAATAGAGTACTATAAGATCAGGGTTGTGCAGAGATACTAAAAAGTATTCGGATACACAAATACTGAGATACGTGCCACAATACATATACTGAGATACATTTGCCTTTTATGTATTGGGATATCCCTAAAATAGTTGCGCAGAAGCGGCAAAAAAGTATATCCGAATATGGATACATACTGAAATGCACTTTTTCCCAAACAGTGATGGGGCCCGAGGGCTCAGTTTATGTGGAACGCATAGGGTGCTTACATTTTTTTTTGTGTCGGTTTATGCCTCTCCCCTTCCCTCAGACTCTCCATCTATTCACACCTACCTTCCCCAATGGACCTCTTGGCGAATATGTGCTGCCACCTAGACACGCGACTGGGTTCGAGGCTAAGTGGCGAGAAAACAACGTGCGCGCAAGGCCTCTCCCACCCGTCCTACACCCAAAACGTCGGCTACATCCTGTTCACCCATTGAGGCGCTGTGACCTAGGTACTGCTCCCCAAAACTCGCCTTTGTCCCCATCGTGCGTAATCTTCCGCCCCAAGGTCGACACAATGAAACTATCTTCCTTCTCTGCTCGGCCAGAAGGAAGAGAGAGAGGGTACTGGAGCCATTTACTCTCCAACCTCTCCAACCGATGTTTCTACAAAAGGTCCATTACCGTAAAAAGAAAAATGATTGTCCTCGGTGAACGACAAAAGTACTGGAGGCTGTCAACTGCTTGACATGCTTGACAAAAGGTTTCTACCCAAAATAAATCCCGTTTTTTCCACGAGGGTCTGCCTCCTAGTGAGGGGGGGGGGAGGGGGGGGGGGGGCAGATTGGGCAACAGAGCCAGATGGGTCTGGGAGCACGGGACCTAAATAAAACGAGACAGCTAATGCCCAATATTGCTCGTGGCTTTTCTTCAAGCCACCTTGTTCTTCCCCTCAATTTCAGTTTATTTGTTTTGCGATATACGAGGCAACCAAGCTTCTCTCCTGTGGAAAAGGCTATGCGGCGAGTTCATATTATAAATTGCAGGATCCCTCGCGTTAAGAAGATGATTGTCAGTTTATCGTAAAAACGTAGCAGTTAGTTTTTTACAACAAAGGTAACGAGACACCTGAGTCTGGCATAGTATTCTGATACAATCAATACATTGTATATTTCTTTTACTACTAAGATACAAATAAAATTTTCAAATGTATCTTGTTGCAGAATTACAGATACTCGAAAGTATCTCCAGGATACCATTTCGATACATCTATTTTGAGACACTGGCCACCCCTGTATAGGGCTAACCGACATGACAAAAACGGGGAAAGGAGGCACAAATGGTAGACATACACAGGTTAATGTGTTCGAGCTGAAAAAAATCCTAGCTTTTTTAAGGGGAGGCACTCCCTTGGAGGGTCTACTTTTTAAGTATTTGTGCCAGGTCAATGAAATTTTTAGGGTATGTTAAACGTCAAAACTTAGGAGGCTACACTAACTTTCAACCCAAAAGGTTTATTTTTTCACAAGTTACAGCCTTATTCGTTGAAAAAAATGTACATGTAGCAGTGCCAAAGGAAAAAAACTATCGTTTCAAAATATGAATAAAAAGGCACAATTTCTTTGTTGGGATATAACGCTGAATGACTAAACTAATTGGTAGTAGGCTTGAAATAATTTTTAAGGCCATATTTCACGTAAAAATTAACTTTCAATAATGGTATGAATTTTTAATTTTTTTCTTGTTTCAAAAACGTCAACATTTTTGTGTGAAGAAATAACTATTTGCAAAAAGTAAGCGCATAGCCGAGTTCTCCAGTAAATTTCATGCCAAAAAAGCCATACATTAGACTTGGGGGCGCTTAACTCATCGAATGATAGTTTTAGAGCTGTGAAAAAATGGTGAAAACATGAAGCTGAGAAAAACGGGTTTGAAAGTTCGAACAGTGTTTTAGTTTAGATGGGGCTTGCTATTTCATCTAAAATGCTCCAGGGGCATATGTCACTCCTTCCTCTGCATAGTCCCTCTGTGCCTTGGCCACAGCTTCCATCTTCCTTTTTTATGGGACATCTTGGAGGACTCGAGCGCTTTCACTTGGGCCTTTGCAACCTTCATCTTGGTGGCCCTCTCTCCGTATGACGCTTGGTAGCTCCCTGGCTGCATGCCCATTTCCAACAGAGCTTCCTGATTCGCTAGGACGAGCCACGTCACGTGGCTCGTCCTAGCGAATCAGAGCTCTTGTTTCGCCAGCTTGACCAATAAGAGCGTGCACAGCTATGTTTTCTACGGGGTTTTACGGTCTGTGAGCACGATATCGCAAACAATGCTGCGAACAGAATGAAAGAGGGCGAGACGCTCATTCCAACGAGGGGGGCCTGTCCATGCTAGTTCTAAGAAACGCGGAGGGAGCGCGCTTTGAAAATGGCACATTTTCGC